AGGAATGCCCACGATGTGGCTCAGGTGGTGCCTGGGAGCCCCAGCGGGAGATGAAATGGGGTCCTGAGCCCAAGAGCAGGGTGTGGATCCCCGGGTGGCTGGTTGGGACAACTAAGACCTATTGGTGCCCTCAAACCCTGGCATTGATCTTTGTCTACTAGCCTGCAAGTCTGTATATCAGTTTTCACTGTACCTGCTGTGTTTTACATATGTAGAATTACTTGTTCTTTGTTCTCTCTATTTATTTATTTACTTATTTTATTCCTAAAATCAGCATTACTCACTCCTAAGGTTACTTTCTTTTAATGAGTAGCTGACCTGGTGAGTTTATAGCCCTGTTGCCTCTGGCATGATCCTGTGAATAGTACTTTCAGCACCTCTGCTGTTATCACATGCTTGTTACTCCTCTACACCACACTTTTCTCTTAAAATAGTAGTTCATTCTATGCAGAATGAACTCCATGTCTGAGCATGGATTTTGATGGGCTCTTGGGCTTCTTAATTCATGTTTTTGAAGTATTTATAGTTTAGATGAAAGAAGCTATGTATAAAGTAGCATTTCATTCCTAAACGCTGCTCATCATTTAAGGTTGAATTCTGTTGTGTCTGTTCGCCTTTACATTCTTTTACTTTCTATTCCCTGTTCTAACATAGAAAAGTTAGTCATTGGGGGGATCACTGTTATAAAATGCAACTTCATATCAGCTTGGTGGGCAGAATCCTGCTATTGACTTTACATGAGTGTTTCTCCTTATAATTTACTAGACTACTTATTCTGTTGTAAATAAAAGGCAAATCAGACATCTGGAATTTATTTTTTCCCCTTCAATTATACTTGCCCTCCCCCTTTTTACCCTTCTAATCTCTTCAGTGCAGTTATCTTTTAATGATGTTCTTCAGCAATATGGGTCTACAGTGCTGTCATTAATCAAACTGTTGCTTAATTTCCTCTATTAAAAGGTCATTTGAAATGTAGCTTTCTTACATCTCTTTGCTTAAATAGCAACTACTTAGGTTGTTGTCATCCTTATCTTAATACCTATTTCTGACGTATACACACACAAACACTTCTGAAAAGCGAATCCTCTATATGTACGTTACCTAATTTTACTTTCCTTATTCTAGTGCCCGTAAGATTACTGAAGATTTTCCATGTATGTGTTTCACATAACAACTCAGCCTTTACAGTGTTTATGCTTCTGCTTCTACAAATGATGGAAAATAGCTCAGTTTTAATGCTGAGCTATTTTGCAACACCATGGAATTACAGATATTGCTAATCAAACAAGTAATAAGGGAATCCAATTCTTTTTCTCTCCAAAGAGTCATTACCAGCTAATAGGTTCCCAAATCAAATGTGCTATCTAAACCAAACTGTGCTTGAGTCATTAAATGGAAACAACTCCTCTCTCTCTGTCTCTCTCCTCTAGCCTCAAACCCTTTAAATTAGGGAAATATGCATTTGAAAATTCTAGTATCCAACCCAGTTGTAATTTTCTTTGCAGTTTTTATGGCATTTCATTCTAGACTGACAAAACACTTTAGGAGAATAGATGGTGCACTTCACTGATTGAGATGCTGATTCACTGAACAATTGCATCACGTTACTAAGATGGTTGCAGCTACAGTTCTGACTGTAGTTGTTTAGTTTTGGTTTTCTGCTATAGATATCACAATTGCAATGATGCACATCAAAGGGTGTAATATCATTAAGGTTTGTTGTAGGAGACTTCAAAAGCTGCAGTTTTATTTCTGATGTTTGACGTTGCTTTGTTCATAAATCCCATGGTTTGAGTTCTTAAAGACAGAATCTGAAATATCTTTTAGTATCAGGAACACCTACATGTATTGCATCAAGCAATGTATAATTCTGTGGCAGAGTGCTTTAAAATATGTAATGGTCTAGGGAAGCAGAGCTAAAACTTGGAGGAATGACCTTAATCCGCAACTGAGCCACTAGGATGCATGTTTAGGAGAGTTTGCCTTTGTTAGTACTGTTTGTGGATTAGTGCATATCCCTTGTTAAAAGACATGCAAATTTGATGGACTGTGGATAACTTGATTAGAAAAGTTAACCTCTCCATGATCTGTTTACTTAGTTTTTGTGTTCCTCTGTTTTGCCCCTTCTTCCTGTTCTGAGATTTATTTCTCATTAGAGTAAGCTTAGAGAGATATCTTGAGTTTTTTTCAAAAAAGTAGGTATTTTTGGTGAGAGGAAAGAATGCTGACTGGAGAAATAAATATTCAGTGGTTACTTGCAGGTCTTGCCGGGCTATGCCAAAGTTCATTTTGTAATTCTTTTACAAGTGATAACAAAACAAAAAAGTTATTTACAGGTGACCTCATTGTTTCTTTTTTGAAGTAAGGCTGTTCAAATAACAAACCCTTACATTTTTCTAAGTTAAACTAACAATTTACCTTAATAAAATTTCCCATGTTAAAAGAGATTATGCCTGTCCATGAAGTTTGTGTATTTCACTAGCTTTTTTTCTTCTAAAACCAGCAACTTTATTTCTGCCATAAAAGATTTGATTTTTTGGAACTATTTTTCTTTTTTATTCTATTAAACATTATGTGTTGCTTTGGAGTTTGAAACTGCAACTTCACTAGATTCAAGTAAAGATAGACTTGTTTTTATTACTGTATGCTTGGTATTAGTTAAAGGATGTTCTATCAAATTAATATTTTTTTATTTTTAAACAAGTAAGTCTATTGCCTTAGAAGTCACTCAGACTAAATGTGTGCTAATGAAGTTATTGAGTGCACCACAACACATTTCAATTCAAATGTATTTGATAGTCTAATTTACAAAAGTTTTCAGAGTTCCTTCCATTTTTGTTACATCTATTCTCCTGTTAAAATAGTCCGTACTGCTGCTACGTTACTAACTTGAGTGGCATCAGAGGAAAAGAGAATTATCAGTTAGCTCTTTCTAGAGCTTTTTAAAATCTATCTACAGAATGCTTTTGCATAATGTCAAGGTTATAAGGTCTGATATCTCATGACCTGCCATCAAGGGAATCAGTGGGCTGCATCACATCATAAGGAGGATTCTTAGCACACCTCTGATATAATGCATATCAATCTTCCTTTTAATGGTTCCCAAGCTGTTGGACCTTAC